TATTCCAACAGTAGATAGAGATTTGATAAAAATAAATAGAGAATTCAATTGAAAAGTGCATCTACGAATTGGACGATTCATATGTTAGGCTACTTTATATCACTTGATTGTATGATTAATATAGTTTTCTTCTTGTTGCAGGTGATCATCGTTGGATTTAACAACAATCCTTTGGATTTTCTTCTATTTTAATGCCYTAAATGATTACTTTTTAAATTATATGTTTAAATGCATTTCTGAAGGTACACACATTAACACTAAATATGAAATAGAATTATATTTAAAATTCTATAATTGATATAACTTCATATATTTGTGGAGATTTATCCAAGATTTTATATATGTTTTTTAATAAAATGTTTTATGGTTTAACTTATCTTTTTCAGATCTAAGACCATAATGAATCTACGTGTCATCTTGCTTTGCTTTGCAGATATCTATAATTTCTTTTTTACTCTCTTTTCAGCTACTCATTTTCCATTGAAAAAAAGTTAATTAATTTCTGAATAATCTAGTATTTAAAACAAAACTTGTATTAGGTTATGGCTACCTTTAAACTTATTAGGTGAAATTGTATTTTTTTAAAAAGTTTTAATAATAGAATCGTTTTCAATAAAATAGTACAAAAAGTTTTAGAGACCAGAGAAAGTTGAGCAAACGTGAGTCACGATTCATGAAACGTCTTTTGGGAAGAACTCATAGGAATCGACAATCTGAAATCCCAGACGAGCTATCATCATCTTATTCGTCGTCGTGTTCCTTGACGATAGCTCAGAGGAGATTACAAACGAGTCCTCAAGTGTCCTTACTTCTTCTCGTTTTCCTTTCTTTATTCTTAAATTTTATCGAGAAAATCTTGAATTCTTTTTGATAGCGACACCGAACACGCTGACAAAACTTTTCGTGATCATCTTCTCGTTTTTTGACTTTCCATTCTTCTGAGACACCAAGATATCTTACCTGTGATAAAAAAATGAAATCACCTTCTATAATGAAGTTTACTCTATATTTTTTAAATTTATTTTAAATTAATTGAGAGAAGTTAGAATAAAAAAAGATTTTTTTAATAAAATTTAAATTAAATTAGTAACAAAAAAATTCAATTCAATAATAAGGATAGTTTTAAATATAATAAATAATTAATGTAAAATAAAATAATGGTACTCAATATTACCACGTATCCTAGACCTAGCTGAAATACACTAAAAGAATCTTTACCCTAAGTAAACTTGTGTAAATGAAAATTACTAGCTACTGCTACTAAATCAAACGATGCCATCTTTCGATTAAATTGTTATCAATGCAAGTCCCAAATAAATATTTCAAATATTCGAGTTAGTAGTTATATCACTATCACGTAGAAGAAGATATCAACCAAACGAAATAGTTTTCATAGAATTATAGTCGAACGTTTATGCCCTATCTTTTAATCTATCGGCAAAGTTTCTAAACTTGTCTAACGATTTATTAAAAAGATAAAACCCGAAAGATAAATTAAACGAACGAAATCGTTCGAGTTATCCTACCGGTAATATATATTCACGATTAAACTTCCTTTCAAAACCCGAAATGAAACTTCTTCATTCCCCGTATCTAGTCATTTTTTAAGGTTGTCAGAAAAATTCGAACATTAAAGGATTAAAACCATAAAAACTGTACTATCAAAATTTAACCAAAAATATTTTCCACCTAGAACGTTGTGTTTTTTTTTTCTACGTATACTTCATCGTTTTATCGATCTTTTATTTTATTTTATTTTATTTTATTTTATTTTATTTTATTTTATTTTATTTTATTTTATTTTATTTTATTTTAATTTTTTTTTCTATACAATCCAAATTCAAACACACGTTTGACAAGAAAAGGGAATAATTCGTGTTATAAATTTCAATAAAGTGAAATGAAAAAATAAAAAATAAAAAAGACAAAAAAAAATAGAAAATCGATTTCGAATAATAATCAAATATAATTTAATTCTATCATCCCCTCTTCGTTCTTCGTTCCTGTATTGACTTTTTAACAAAACAAAAAATAAAAAAAAAAGCAAAACAAAAAAAGGAATAAAGAAGTTTCATTTTGCTTAACAACATTACGCGTTGAGGTATTTTCTATATTTTTTTATTTTTTATTTTAATGTTCTTACCCCTTTTTTTAATTATCGTTATTTTCTTTTCGTTTCCTTTTCTTTTCTTTATTATTATTTTCTTTTCTTTTCTTTTCTTTTTTTTTATTGTTATTTTCTTTTCTTTTTTTTTTCTTGTTCAGGGTATCCCAACGCTAATTATAGCAGTAGCAGGAATTGACGATGCAGCGTCTGTTGCAATATATGGCATCGTAAAAAGCGTCATGTTCTCTCATGACAAGCTTTGGTATCAAATTCTTCAAGGACCTATCGCTATAGTCGGTGGTCTCGGCTTTGGTATACTCTGGGGCTGTTTGGCCAAATACGTTCCAGAAAAGGGTGATGTGAGTATTTTTTTTCATTCTATCTTTAAATGTTTTGTTTTTTGTCTATTTGTTTAAACGTTTCAGTTTATTGCGATATTTAAAATAAATCAACGAGCTCGAGATCAAATTAGGGTATTTCTTTTTTCGTATTCAAGTTAATTACTTGAAAAAATATCTTTCGATTTAATTGAAATGAATTTAACAATAATGTTGGAATAATGTTTTTGTATTATAAAACTGAATGAATGATTCTTTTTTTATCTTTTTTGTTTACATTACTTTTAAATAGATAAATTTCTCAAATAAAATAGAAATGTTTTATTTATACATCTCACATGTGAACGAGATAAAAAGTTCAGTGGTTCGTAATAAAAAAGAAATAAAAAATTATTCTAACATTGATAGACACTATACTACCATAAATTGTTAATACAAAAGTTTGAAAAAAAAAAAACAAAAAATATTGCAACGAAGTCCAATATATCAGGACACTCGGTACAGGAGAGTAGCTTTGGGAATCGTGGGTTATTCCAATACACCATTGAAATATAACTTATAAATCATTTTTCTATTGGTTTTTATTCATTTTAGTATTTAAAATTGTCCATAACTGTAACTAATGTATCTTTTAAAAAAAAAAAGATATCTTAGACATAATACATAGCAGGCAACATTTTGATACAGACAACATCATCCATAAAACATTTGTTTTAAAAAATAGAATACCAACAAATTTTCAACAAACACGAAAATATATAACATAATCTCTCTAGGTTAATAGGAATGTAAATAGGAACTTTAGGTATTATAACTTTCCAACTTTACTGTTCAGATTTTCATTAATTCTAATAATCCTATTATTCAAAATTGTCCATAACTATTACTGTAATAAATAATAAAACAAAAATTTGAAATAATTAATATACATACAAATAATATTGATATTATATTCTTCATAATTCATAGAACATTTTGTTCGGTAATAACATAACCCAGAAATGTTACAAATAACTTAATCTCTCTCTCCCCCTCTCTCTCTCTCTCTTTCTCAGTAACTGTATAGAAGAGCTTTTAGGAGTTACAGTTTGCTAGCACAGCACTAGCACATAACTTATAAGCAAACGCATCGATCCGAAAATTTGATTGGTATTACGTAAAGAGTATTCCATTTGCAATCTGTTGGATGAGTGAATGGGAGTTGGGTGGGAGTTAGATGTTGAATAAGGGGGTAAAGCGTGTGAGGTCAGGAAAAGGGGTTCAGGTCCAGGTCAGGAGAATGGGTAGAAAGGGTCAAGCTACGTTTCCACCCCCGTAGATGGTCGCAATCGTCTGTCACTTGTCTTGGCATGATCGCACTAGTATAATAGGTCTTAATGTCCTCGTCGTTTGTTCATCGTTGTGGGAAATGCGTTCGACGAAGCGTATGATGATTACCCGTCGTTACTGATTTATCGACGTTTCCCGTTCTTGGACAGTTGTGTTCTCGCGAATACGAGAAAGCAGCATATGCAACGATTATGGTCGTATTAGATCGTTAATGTGACTTGCCAACTGGAATATAATAATCTAAGTTATTATATGTTTTATTATTACGGATGATTCGAATTATCTAACTTAAATGTTATCATTTTCTTTCTAATATTGTTCATAGTTATTTTTTCTTTATTGTTATTCTAACTTATGTTAATGTTATATCAGTGTTCTTTTATTTATAAAAACAAACAAAAATACCGATACGCATTTCTTGTTTCAAGCTTTTTACTCGAGATATTATAATTTATGTAATAGCATTTGAATGAATCATTTGAAAATTAAGATTTTTTTGGAGTTTATTAATAATTAAACATTATTTATCTTGACTTTTTTTCTTTTTTTTATTTTCTTTTATTTTAGACTTGATCAATGTTATTTTTCATCTTTTCCCATGTACTCATCTTTTAAAAAGACAAATCAATTATAAAATCATTGAGTAAAGTATCATCGAGTTTTAGTGAGTGTTATACCTTTTCTACAATTAATTCCACCTGTTAGTCGACATATAAACGTATATAATATCGAATGAAACAAGTTATTTTACGAATGATTAAATGTTCGCATCATCCATTCCACAAAATAAGCCAACAGTTATTTTAAATATTTTCCCACGAATTATGTATGAATATATTCTAAAAAAATAAATAAATGAAATAATGAAATATATAATAACGAAGAACGCGATTTTAATTTATTTAATCGAGTATTTAATACAGGGTGCAAAAAAAAAGAATAAAAATAAAATAGAAGGGTCAGGTTTTACGTTATAACGAAATAATCTACCACCTTGTCAACATTTTCTTTTGAGCTTCTTATAATACAGTTTATCGATCGAGAAAAAAAGAAAAATGAAAAGAAAAATTAATTCTTCCCACGTCGTTGGGTCACGTTTTACGAGACATCTTTAGCAAAAGTTTATAGACTTCCAAAGAAATAGTATCGTGATCTCGTGTAAACTGTCGAAGCAAACGGTTGTTTCCATTATCCTCTTTTTCTCTCTCTCTTTCTCTCTCTCTCTCTCTCTCTCTTTCATTCGACCCTTTTTTTTACCTTCCCCTTCTTGTAAAGAAGACGAAACAAAAAAAAAGGGATAGAAAAAGAAAAACAAGTTTGGAGACGTGCATTATCCCTCTAGGAAGATCGATTGTCCTCGATCGAGTTAAAAGTAAGAGCTAGAAGATCTTTTTCCCTTTCTTTCTTTCTTTCTTTCTTTCTTTCTTTCTTTCTTTCTTTCTACCCTTTTGGATCTCTTCTTTTCCTACTTTCCTTCTTTCCTTCACTTTTTCTTCTTCTCGTTCTTCTTCTTCTTCTTCTTCTTTATCGACCGAAAAGCCGCAGAGCACTTTCCTCTTGAGATACAATAAAGTGCATTAATGACGGATTGAGAGGCTACGGTTTATACCTATACTTCTTACTTTTAGTTTACTAAGTTTTCCTTTTTCATATTGGGAAAATAAGAGGGTAACTTGATACAAGGTTAGATCAATACAAGAAAAATTATCTGGACATTGTATATATATATATACATAAAATTGGATTTTGTTACTTCGTTTTTATTTCACATGTTTGTTTTTTTTTTTTAAGAATTGTTTGATATATTATATTATTATACTTTGTTTAAAGGTTGCAATAAAAAATAATTAAAACATGTCGACGTATTTTAATCTCTCTTAGTCATTTTAAGAAGAAAATTTACTTAATAAAGATAAAAATTATTCAATTAAAAATAATGTTTGCAACCTTTAATAAGTATAAATTTTTCGAATAAAAAAAAAAAAGAAAAAAAAAACAGAACAAGTTCATTTTGATATATATGGAAAAATAATCCTGTAAAATATAAGTAGAATTATTAAATGTATAGAAGGAGAACGTCATTTTTACAATTGTTCACGTATAAATCTTTTTTTTCTTTTTCTTTTCCTAAGGAATAATTTGTTAAACGCACATTGTCTTTCTTGATAATATATTATCTAGAATAGGACTTTATATTGGTAGAGTTTTAAAACGATCGATCAGTAGGAAAATGTTCTACCACGGCAAACGAAATCGGTTGCTCGAAGAAAGAAAGAAATAAACAAATAAATAAAAGAAATAAAGAAAATAAAAGAGGAAAGGGTATAGCACGAGCGAATTATAGAGTTTCGAATAGTTGTGTGAGTTTTCTCGTAGAAGTAGTAGTAGTTTTCCATAGTAGTTTTCGTAGTAGTAACGACGAAGGGAAATAAATCGTTTTCGATGGCGAAAATGGAAATCGATTTGCCGTAGAAGAAACTGATTGAAATTCGCTTCCTCAATTTTCCATGGCATCGTCTTACTAAAAATTGTCTTAAACAAAAATCGATAATTTGTTCTTTTTATTTTTTTATTTGTTTCTCAACGATATTCAAATTTATCGATCGATAAATAATCTATTCTATTTTATTTTATTTTGTTTCTTTCGTTAAACATGTTACTTGCGATAATATTTTTAATATTTTTAATATTTTTACATACGTTTATTCGCAAAATGAAAATTATGAAAAGTAATTAAAATTAGTTAGACGAATTTTTATTATTATTTTATATTTATGTTTTTTCTTTTTTCTTTATCAAACTTTTTTATTGAATTATCATTCGTAAATGTTTGATTTTTATTTCATTTAATTTTTATTTTATTTTATTTTTTTTTATTTGGTGCAACTTTTAATTTATTTGGTGAATTTTATACGATTTAATTTTAAAAAGCATTTATTTTATTTTCATTAATGATTAAAACTTTTAAATAAAGAAATAAAACAAAGTGAAATAATTTAATTTGGAAAACATTTCTCATTTCGCGTTTAATCATACACACATATATATAATATTTTTCTTATTATTATAATAATAATGTGAATAATATTTATGGAAATACCTTTTCGAAATTGTCTGCTAAATGAAATCATATTATTTTATAACGTTAATTATATTTTATAAATTTGAAAAAGAAAAGGAAAAGGATTAATGTACGAAATGCGTGAAATAAATTTTCGATATTTACGTAAAAATTTGATAACGAAAATTCTGAAAATGGTGTAGAGGGTGATGAGAGGTAAATAAAAAAAAAGGAAAAAAAAACATTGGAAAATTTTCGAGGTCGTTGAATAAACGTCAGGACGACGCGACAAGGTAAAGTAGTACGGCATGGAATTAAAAACTTTAAGGGTTAAAACAGCGAAAAAAAGAGAACACGGTGTAGTATAAACCGGACGATTTTGAAAACGGAACGGAACTGAACGGGGCTTTTTTTTTGGGTAAAAACGAGAGAGTAAAAGAAGAAAGAAAAAGAGAATATAAGAGAGAAACTTGTAGGTCGAGTTGTTAAAGGGATATTTAACCAATTGCGTTTCTTCTCTCTTCGAGTATGCTACCAACGTATTTCTACACAACGCGTATTCAAATTTAGACAAAATTTTATCTTTAACGTCCAACCAGATAAACTAAAAAATAAATAAAATGGTCAATTT